AGTGATGTTGGGCCCGTCACCGTTCAACTCTCTAGTGATGTTGGGCCCGTCACCGTTCAACTCTCTAGTGATTTGTTCGCGAGGGGGTGTCAAGCTTTGCCTGGTTCCGGAAGCTGGGCTGCACTTCGCAATGGGCTCGCCGTGAAACTCATCGGCTTCATCGAAAGACAGTGGAGCCATTTTCTGCCTCTTTATACTGTTGGTAGAGTAATAAATCCCTCCAACAGTGTCCTTCACAGATCGCCCCTCACCTTTTTTATCGCATAGCTCAGAAAAGGTAAAGTCCTGCATGTCTGTGCTCTCCAGATCCAGCAGACTATCTCCGAACAGCGACACGCTGGTGCTCACCGGGCTGTTTTCCAGCGACGACAGCATGTTAGAGACTTCCCAGGCCAGGAAGGACTTCATAGGGGTGCAATCATACGGCGGAGGTTCTGAAATGATAGAAGAAACGTCCAGCTCCTCAGCTTTCCTCTTACTGGGACTCCGAGTGTCCTTTTCCAAGCCTTCAATTTTCTTTACAATTTCCTGACACTCGACAGCGAAGGAACTCCTATACAGCGGCGTCCCTAGAGGAGTCTTCAACACCGCATTTGCATCCTGGCGACTTCTGCCCTCGCTGTATTCTTGCATCGTGTCCATATCCACCTCCATGACAGGAGACAGCGCCTGCTTCGTTCTCCCTTTACATAGTACAGGCGTGCTGAAGTATTTGTTGGTGCGGGTGACCTCAGCACAGGCAAGCCCCTCGTTTTCAATGTCTGCCATTGGATCTGAGAAGAAGGAAGTCTTCGATGCGGAATAACCTTTTGGAGAACGATGCAGTCTGTTGGCTGATGACGCATTGTCATTTGTCGCGCTTTTCCCACCTGAAGGGCGAACTGCGTCCTCAAAACGAACGTTGCCTTTTCTAACTTTGGGTTTGTGCAGTGATGTACTCTCCCCCTCAGAGTCCTTCATCTGTCCTTTCCATGGAGCCACAGTACCGTGCAGCCCAGAACTCAACATTGGGTCATTCTTGATGTCTTTCAGTGCCATGCGTGAAATCGGTTTGGTGCCGGTTGGCACCGTAGTGGCTTTTGTGGTCGGCCCCTCCAGGTTTGCACTGGCAGCTCACCGGGTCGTAACGTCAAAGACTTGATTTCCAGTAATCTGAAATCATCAACACCAGTGCCACTTGTAGTGTCATAAAGAATCCCCCCAATCAATATAAAGCAACGACGAGGAGCTCTGCGTGTGGTACCAGTGGATATCATTATATATGGCTGAGTTCCCATCTCCGCCCCCTTCATCTCCTGGCCAATCACAAAACAGCACAGGGGCCTGCTCACTTTATGATTGGCCAGGAGGTCAACTCATGGTTCTGAATGGAGCGCAGTGAGGTCACAACACTTGAGGTCCAGTCATGGGAGGCCGGTACCTCTGTCTGCACCTGGAGGAATAGTCTGCAGGATTATTGGGCACATTATTGTGGTTGCAATGCTCTGCAGGCTGCAGTACAAAACACTTTGGGGGGGGGTCACATTCACCCATCAACTGATCACCAGATCAAGAGGATGTCCTTACCCCCCTAAATCCACAGTCATGTGACACCCCAGCCTGGAGCAGTGTCTTTGGTTTACATCTGGCGGGTCCTTTTTTGGGTGTCCATATCACTGCCTGCATAGCGGTGGGGCCCTCCCAGGATCCAAAAGAGGCATGACATTAGTGCGAGGGGGGCCAGTATATCTGCAGCGCTGGCTTAGTGCCCCACCCCCCATAAATCTCCATGTAAAGGGCTACTACACACTCTATGGCATGCTCAGCATCTCTCCCCTGAGCTATCACTATACACCCAGCAATACACACAGGATTTCTGCAGCTCTCCATCAATGGGTTGGCCCGCCAGCCGTGTGGTGATGAAGACGGGCGGCTCCCTCCGATGCTCCCCACACCCTCCTCACCTCACCGGCCGCGGTACCTCTCGGTCGCTCCCTGCACTCGGTAACCGCCAAGGTTTCAAACACCAAAACACCTGACGCCGGCCAATCATATACTGTTACGTCAAAGGGCGCTGGACGCAACGGTGCGTGGTGACGCAGCGACGGCTTGACTCGGCAGGCGCACGCGCAATAGCCCCATCTGCTCTACATACGCTACTGGCAGGTCACCGGATGCGACGTCACCAGTCTGAGCTCTCGACGAGTTGGGAGATTTCGACCATCTTGGTTTAGGGCACTGTGCCCAAAAGTAGAAATAGACATAAACCCACCAAAATCTGTTGTTTTTTTTCATGTCAGGCAGTAAATAGGGAGGTGGCTGTGGTTCCTTCTCTTCACCCACAAAGCGTATAATAAAACTTTATAAACCACATCAGGAAACAATAGGATGGGGAAACTCCCATATGTCCTAATTTAGAGGGACAGTTCCTGGACCCAAATCTTCTTTTACAACTGTCCCTCGTTGTAAGCTGAACTCAGTAAGAGATGGGGGTGGTGGTTATTCTTTAACACCTCAGCACTTGAAGGGTGGAATGAAAATTTTGCCTAGGGGTGGGCAAACTCCATGCCTCCAGCTGGGGGCGAACGACAAATCCCATGAGGCATTGCAAGATTCTCTCACAGCCACAAGTATGACTCGCAGAGGCATCATGGGATTTGTAGTTTCACCACAGCTGGTGGGCCAGAGGTCACTCCGATGACATTAGGGATCCAGTGGCTGTGGGCCATCCTTATAATTGGACAGAATTGAGCTAATAGAATGAGTCCCGCAATGTCCAGGAGTACTGTGAGCCCAAGTGGGAGTGATGAGGTCCACCTCAGGGGGCGGGTCCATGACACCCTGGGCTCACAGGAAGTGGTTTAGATGACACCGGGCATCGTCAGAGGGGGAGTAATGCAATCAGAGCTACTTTTATATTTGTACAGATGCCAGGACAGAGTCGGACTTTATGGAACGCGCGTTTCCTTCCCAGCACCTTCTTGCTTCAGGAATGCCAACCAGTTTGGTTTCAATGGACGGCAGACATATTTATTTTTTAAATTAAAACTGGATTAGGATCAGCTGATTAAATCCTCACTTTGGTAGCTCCTCCTCCCCCATATAGTAACATGTTTAGTAAAGGGCAGGCGTAGCACTCCAGCTCTGGCAAAACTATAAATCCAATAATGCCTTAGGGCAGTGGTTCTCAACCTTTCTAGGGCCGGAACCCCTTGGTAACATTTGCCAAGTTGTGGTGACCCCCCCCCCCAACCGTAAAATTTAGGGATTCACCAATACTAGTATCTGTCTGGGCTCTTGGGAGGCTATGCGGGCTCACAGGTGGCTAGTGGGACTCTCTGGTGGCATCCAGCCTGTGTGGTGCCCAGTGTGGGCTCTGTGGTGATCAAGCACTAGCCTCCCCTCTCTCTGATCCTCTCTGGCCACTGCTGCTGCAGCGCCATCTAGGAGAACTGACACTGCTGCCCTAGGAGGAGGCTGAGGAAACTCTTACCTAGAGCAGCACAAGGCACGTGGGGACCCCCTCAACTATGGGTTGCAACCCACTTTCTATAAGACATTCACTGGCACCAATGCTGGGGGTTATTATTGCATTCACTGACACCAATGCTGGGGGTTATTACTGCGTCCACTGACACCAATGCTGGGGGTTATTATTGCATTCACTGGCACCAATGCTGGGGGTTATTATTGCATTCACTGACACCAATGCTGGGGGTTATTATTGCAGCCACTGACACACCCAATAGGGCTTAGTTTCATCCCACTTTATCTTCAGTGTGTGTTGTGGTGTGTGGCAGCTCATGAATGGGCTAACTCAATTCATTGCACTTCAATGGCAGAAAATTAGTAGCTATTGTGTGGCCCTCTGGAAGTGTCAGGAGCCACAAGTGAGGCCCTCTATAATTATAAAGGTGACCACCGCTGCTTTACACAGACAGTCCCCGAATGGACAAGATACCAGAATTTCTCTGAGCAGGCGCTGTGTAGGAGTACAATAGGACAGGGCTCAAAATTTCCCCTCGCAAGTGAAAATTGTGAGGCGGTGAGTGGAAATGAATCAGTGGGGATGCACCGCCGGCAGGAGACAGGAGTGAAACCACCGCTGCTCCTGCGGCGATCACTCTCTTCTCTGGCCGGGGTGAAGGGAAGACAGCCAAACTGATTCTTCTCCTCCACAGCAGCTGCAGCTACAGATCAGCTATGTGTATTGTAAGTCCCCATTCTTTCTGCCTTACACTGCTGACCTCTGTGCATTACATTACTGACCTCTGTACTGCTGACTTCTGTGCGTCACATTACTGACCTCTGCACTGTGCGTTACATTACTGACCTCTGCACTGTGCGCTACATTACTGACCTCTGCACAGTGCGCTACATTACTGACCTCTGCACTGTGCGTTACATTACTGACCTCTGCACTGTGCGTTACATTACTGACCTCTGCACTGTGCGTTACATTACTGACCTCTGCACTCTGTGTCGTTACTGATCTCTGTACTTTGCGTCACACTGCTGAGCTGGCGGAGTTACGGCCGGGGCAGGGTAGGGGTTAGGTGGGGCAACTTGTGGCAAGTAACTCTTAAGGCCTGGCTAGTAGCTTAGGGCCTGAACTTTTGAGCCCTGTAATAGAACACCTCCAGTAAATTATATCTAGCACCCAAACTTTATTTAGAATTCTGATATACATTATAAAAAATACATTCGTAGCACCCGTGTGGAAAGGGTAAGAACAGTGAACCCCCCAACTCCCCCCTCCCATAAGTACCATATGTTAGGTTTCCCAGCATCAAGGATACTGGCTATAAAGACAGTAGTATGTAGTGTAAACTGCTCCAACCAGCTTGGCATTAGAGGCAGCCGCACCCCAAATGTGAAGCCACCCATCGATTTTTAGACAGTAGCAGATTGCTGGGGAATCTCAAAGAACGATGGTCAGCTTTTAGACCCATGTTGGTTTCCGTTGGAGCGGTCCATCGGGTTGGCACCGCCACCGGCTGCCTTCCACGGACGGACGAGGAAGACGGAGATCAGACTAGTGAACGGTTCTCTCCTTCTGCCGCTGGTAGTCTGGAAGACAAAGACGTGAGAACTTCTTACTGTGCAGCCTGTGTAGGGAACGGTCTACAGGGATCTGGTGAATGTAACCACCTTATGTGAAGGTTATAGATTTGTGGAGACACACAGAGCTTACTAGCACAGACAAGGGTGACTACATAGCACTCTGCTTAACAAAGGAGTCACTCTAAAACAGGAAGTCAGGAGCAGTGTTTAGGGGAGCAGCCCATTCTGCAGGAAACTAAACACTTTTAAGCCTTAGGGGGCACCAGCCATTGTAAGTGATTTCATCAGCATTTAAAAAAAAAAAAAAAAAGATTAAAAACCTTTTGACTTTACTTTCACTTTAAGGGGTACAAAACTTTAATGAGAGCTCCAAGTATCACTTTAACCACACCTCTTTTTTTCTTCCCCTTTCTATAAGACAAATATTTGTTGGGTATAGCAAGAGGACAGTTATAGGTCTGTGTTGCTGTCCTTGCCCTAGCCAGTACTGAGACCCGTCCTTACTAGAACTCACTGTATGGGAAGTGCTGAGACCCGTCCTCACTAGAACTTACTGTATGGGAAGTGCTGAGACCCGTCCTCACTAGAACTCACTGTATGGGAAGTACTGAGACCCGTCCTCACTAGAAACTACTGTATGGAAAGTACTGAGACCCGTTCTCACTACAACTTACTGTATGGGAAGTACTGAGACCCGTCCTCACTAGAAATTACTGTATGGGAAGTACTGAGACCCGTTCTCACTAAAAACTACTGTATGGGAAGTACTGAGACCCGTCCTCACTAGAACTTACTGTATGGGAAGTACTGAGAACCGTCCTCACTAGAACTTACTGTATGGGAAGTGCTGAGACCCGTCCTCACTAAAAACTACTGTATGGGAAGTACCGAGACCCGTCCTCACTAGAAATTACTGTATGGGAAGTACTGAGACCCTTCCTCACTAGAACTTACTGTAGGGGAAGTACTGAGACCCGTCCTCACTAGAAATTACTGTATGGGAAGAACTGAGACCCGTCCTCACTAGAACTTCCTGTATGGGAAGTACTGAGACCCGTCCTCACTAGAAATTACTGTATGGGAAGTGCTGAGACCCGTCCTCACTAGAAATTACTGTATGGGAAGAACTGAGACCAGTCCTCACTAGAACTTCCTGTATGGGAAGTACTGAGACCCGTCCTCACTAGAAATTACTGTATGGGAAGTACTGAGACCCTTCCTCACTAGAACTTACTGTAGGGGAAGTACTGAGACCCGTCCTCACTAGAAATTACTGTATGGGAAGAACTGAGACCCGTCCTCACTAGAACTTCCTGTATGGGAAGTACTGAGACCCGTCCTCACTAGAAATTACTGTATGGGAAGTACTGAGACCCGTCCTCACTAGAAATTACTGTATGGGAAGTACTGAGAACCGTCCTCACTAGAACTTACTGTATGGGAAGTACTGAGACCCGTCCTCACTAGAACTTACTGTATGGGAAGTACTGAGACCCGTCCTCACTAGAACTCACTGTATGGGAAGTACTGAGACCCGTCCTCACTAGAACTCACTGTATGGGAAGTACTGAGACCCGTCCTCACTAGAACTCACTGTATGGGAAGTACTGAGACCCGTCCTCACTAGAAACTACTGTATGGAAAGTACTGAGACCCGTTCTCACTACAACTTACTGTATGGGAAGTACTGAGACCCGTCCTCACTAGAAATTACTGTATGGGAAGTACTGAGACCCGTTCTCACTAAAAACTACTGTATGGGAAGTACTGAGACCCGTCCTCACTAGAACTTACTGTATGGGAAGTACTGAGAACCGTCCTCACTAGAACTTACTGTATGGGAAGTGCTGAGACCCGTCCTCACTAAAAACTACTGTATGGGAAGTACCGAGACCCGTCCTCACTAGAAATTACTGTATGGGAAGTACTGAGACCCGTCCTCACTAGAACTTACTGTATGGGAAGTACTGAGAACCGTCCTCACTAGAACTTACTGTATGGGAAGTACTGAGACCCGTCCTCACTAGAACTTACTGTATGGGAGGTACCAAGACCCGTCCTCACTAGAACTTACTGTATGGGAGGTACTGAGACCCGTCCTCACAAGAACTTATTGTATGGGAGGTACCAAGACCCGTCCTCACTGGCACTTACTGTTTGGGAAGTACTGAGACCCGTCCTCACTAGAACTCACTGTATGGGAAGTACTGAGACCCGTCCTCACTAGAACTTACTGTATGGGAAGTACTGAGACCCGTCCTCACTAGAACTTACTGTATGGGAAGTACTGAGACCCGTCCTCACTAGAACTTACTGTATGGGAAGTACTGAGACCCGTCCTCACTAGAACTTACTGTATGGGAAGTACTGAGACCCGTCCTCACTAGAACTTACTGTATGGGAAGTACTGAGAACCGTCCTCACTAGAACTTACTGTATGGGAAGTGCTGAGACCCGTCCTCACTAAAAACTACTGTATGGGAAGTACCGAGACCCGTCCTCACTAGAAATTACTGTATGGGAAGTACTGAGACCCTTCCTCACTAGAACTTACTGTAGGGGAAGTACTGAGACCCGTCCTCACTAGAAATTACTGTATGGGAAGAACTGAGACCCGTCCTCACTAGAACTTCCTGTATGGGAAGTACTGAGACCCGTCCTCACTAAAAATTACTGTTTGGGATGTGCTGAGACCCGTCCTCACTAGAAATTACTGTATGGGAAGAACTGAGACCAGTCCTCACTAGAACTTCCTGTATGGGAAGTACTGAGACCCGTCCTCACTATAAATTACTGTATGGGAAGTACTGAGACCCGTCCTCACTAGAAATTACTGTATGGGAAGTACTGAGACCCGTCCTCACTAGAACTTACTGTATGGGAAGTACTGAGAACCGTCCTCACTAGAACTTACTGTATGGGAAGTACTGAGACCCGTCCTCACTAGAACTTACTGTATGGGAGGTACCAAGACCCGTCCTCACTAGAACTTACTGTATGGGAGGTACTGAGACCCGTCCTCACAAGAACTTATTGTATGGGAGGTACCAAGACCCGTCCTCACTGGCACTTACTGTTTGGGAAGTACTGAGACCCGTCCTCACTAGAACTCACTGTATGGGAAGTACTGAGACCCGTCCTCACTAGAACTTACTGTATGGGAAGTAGCGGACCTGCATGTAGATTTCTCTGGCAGTTTTCAAAATCTCCACAGCCTACAGAAAAAAGAAAACACAAAAATTATGCCTTGTTCCTGGAGGGTTTGTGAAAGTTATGCCTCATTCAAAATCTACGTACATACTATGTATATCTGTTATAATGAGGCTGCTAACACTACAATGGTCACTCACTCCCCCCCTCCCCCCCCCAGCCATGATCTGCCTGTATCGCATAGAGACCCCATAATGACATCACCAGATCTAAAATAAGGTATGTCATGAAAATGGAAATGTTGCATTAAAAAAAATGTCATTAGCATGTTGAAAAGAGGGAAGGGAGCACCAATGGAAGGCAACACATAAGCAGATTGAACTTCAGCTAGAACTAGGCCCATCAATTTAATGATGTCCCACAACAGTTATGTTTAAGGCATGCCAGCTATCAAGGTCGCCAGTGTGCTTATTTCAGCTCTCAACCAAACTTTCAAGCCCTCAAATGGATGGTGTCATTGCTGATCACTTGGTCAGCACCAAGACAACGCAATCCAAATAAAGGCTGAGATGGTGCCTTCCTTGGCTGTAAAGCATAGGAGGGTGTAGTTCCACTTTAAGGTGACGCATCATTCCCAAAATGTGAATGGATTGTGAAGCGGCAATCCTGTCCAGACATAAAAGGAATAACACAGGACAGGAAGTTGCTTTGTTAATGTAGCTGTACTGTGAAGCCCGTTTTCCGATTCCGCTCCATGCTGTGCTCTTAGTACCTTGCTGTGCTCAATATCCTGAAAGTCCACATTGTTCACAGTGAGCACCTGATCTCCTTCCTGCAGACCGGCGCGATGAGCATCAGAGTCCGGGATAACCTACACACAAAGACATAACTGCAATGATGTCTAAATGATTAGAAGAATCTTACACAGAAGTAGACCACTTTGCATGGCGGGACTCCAGAAGATAGTGTCGTAGTGCAAGTCTGCTGAGCATATTGGGGAAATTCAGGATAACTGGAACAGGCGGATTTTTTTTGGCAACCAATCAGCTTCTCTCTTCAGTTTGTTCAGTTAAGATTTGAAAATGAAAGAGAGAAGCTGATTGGCTGCCATGGCCAACTGCTCCAGATTCTGTCTGCTCCAATTTTTATGAATTCCCCTCACTGTGTCATGCTTGCCTTGGGCTGCGATGGCCATGGTCCCTCTCGTCACGGCGCTTCCATCTCCTCCCTGTCTTTGCCAAACTGGATTAGCTGGGCCGCCTGTACACGGGTATTACTTTGTGCCGGCCCTACTTTGTGCCGGCCCTAAATCGTGCCAATTATGTACAAAAAGCTGCACAGTGTCCATTTATTTCTTTGCTGCATTATGCGAGTTACTAAATCACCCTGCAATGCTGCTGGACAATATACCAATATGCTCTGCTGCACAATGTTTGCAGTGTGCCTGCCACCCCCTTTTCTGGCCAGTGTCCCGGGTTGCTAACAGCCAGATGGGTAGATGTGTATCTATCTCCGCGCTTAGCTATTAGCAACTCTTACCGTCCCGCCCACACGTCACTGGTTGCCAGGAGCTGGGCGGGAAGCCAAGCTGGGCAGGTAGGATGGTGTCATTGAACCACCACTGCAACCCCTGGCTAGGGGTGATTCTGCTTGTTGGACATCCCATTGCAGAACTATGGCCATCACCATGAAGTTGCCCCCTGCTCTCCATGGCCATTATTATGGTGTTGGTCCCCCCCATGGCCATTATTATGGTGTTGGTCCCCCCCATGGCCATTATTATGGTGTTGGTACCGCAGCGCTGAATACTGAAAAATGGCCTGGACAGGAAGGGGGTTTAACACCCCGGATGTCAACTGGTTAAAATTGCGTGCGCCCGCAAAAATCGCAAAAAACGCCCATAGGCAACGATTAAAACGCTTTTACTGCTCATCAGTTTAGTGTTATCAGTGATTAATGTCTCTAAAATATTGTTCACACTCCGACGTTTGCGGCGATATTTAACATGTGCGGCACAATCTTCGTTTTCGCACGCAGGCGCACCCGAATCTGCGTGTGTATGTGGGGGGCGGGTACTTAAAAAAATTGTTTTTCTTTTTTAATTTTTTGTATGCTTCTTTATTTTTTTATGATTCTTTAATTTTTGTATTACTTTTTTTTTTACACACAGCTTTATTGTTATTACATGGGGGGCTAAGAAGCCCTCTATGTAATAGCCAATTTACATGGCAGGTCCTCTTTATGGAGACATCAGAGGTCTCCAAGACCCCTAATGTTACCTAGGGACCCCCAGAGAAGCTGATGAAGCAGAGATCAGCTTCTCTAGCTGGAGAGTGACACTGAATGCAGGAAGTGATATAATATACATCACTTCCTGCATTCGGGGACTGAGAGATCAAAGGGAGTTCGTATACTGAACTCCCTTTGATCTCCTGTCACAGAGCCGTGCCGGTCCCGGCCGCATTGGGCACAGCGGATCACGGAACCGGAAACGGCAGTGACAGCTGCTAATACAAGCGATCGAGCGTCTCTAGAAACGCCCGATCGCTTGAATGTAAAGCTCTCGGCCGGCCGTGTAATTACAACGGCCGGGCCGGGAAGCTGCTCGTCGGGCTCCGCCGTCCTCTCGTCACAGACGAGAGACCGAGCGGATTTTTCAAGCCCTGGTTATAACCCTCATCAGCTTTTGTTTACCATCTGTGTCCCATTGGGGAAATTTCCCTTCACTTCCTCTCTGATAGCCACAACAGGAAGTGAGAGGAAATCCTCTCACTTCCTGAGAGGAAACTAGTCTCCCCACTGGAAGATTTCCCCTCTCTTCTTGTTCTGGTGACAACCCAAAATTTGGGATTCTGGCCTCAGCTGCACTTCAAGAAACCAGGCGCACGTGGTACAACAAATGTGTCCCTTCCCAACCCAGGATTGGCCAAGTGGATCCCGGAATAAATCATTGGACAAACACTTCACAAGGTGGAGGATGCATACCTTAGAAATAAAGATGCCGAGCTGCGACGCTTTCCCTCCGCGGATATTAAATCCCAGCTGCAAAGACAAAACGGAAGTTATGATGAATGGAGGAAGAGACTGGGACTCGGCGTTCACAGAGACTGAAGAATCCTCCTAACAAAAGGGGAACTGCTCAAACTCAGAGGACTGGTGCAGA